GCCCGGGCAGCCTCGCGCGGGGGGCTGCGGTGGCCGGGGCAGCTCTTCCCTGGGAGCCGGGAGGGGCACCAGGGCCCCCCCGTCACCGAAGCCGGCTTCTGGTTGCGCGGTGCCAGGGGGGCCTCCTGTCACTTCGCCTGGTGTCGTTGGAGAATTGCTGGACTTGCTCCAGGATTCCAGAGTTGATTTGTTAATTAAAACAGTCCCAAGAGTTTAGTCTTACAGTTTCTTCCAGCCACTGGGCCTTTGCTCTCCGAGTTCCTTAGTGTTAGCTCTTTGAGGTTTGACTTTTCATTTCTGACGTTCTTCATAGCTCTTTTGCTGTCCCCCACGTTCTTTTCTCTTGCGCCTTTTCTCTATGTAAACAACTCGATCTCCCTCGAGTTGCCTTCTCTGTAGGAAACGCCAGACGCTGGCTGTTCTGCCCTGTCCACTAGAGAGAGTTGTGTTTGGGGGTTTTTTAAGTATTTTGACTGTTCCAATTTGAATGCTGCTAAAAAAGCCAGGGGACAATTCCTGTCCTGTCTAAATGAAAACGTTTGAGAGATGGGGTCGAGTCCGTGCAGGCTGCCTTGGTGAGCTTGGCAATGTCCTGTGTGAAAGGCTGGATCAAAAGCGTCAGGGCCGGCTTGGGGCTGGCCTCCTCTCACCTGGAAGCAGAAGCAGCTCAGCTGCCGCTTCTTCATGTGCTTCTGTGTTTGTAATTGTACAGGCAATGGAACCAAGTACAGAGACTTGTGAAGTGGGCATCGACGACAGGTATGAAATTTAATTACTTCAGCTACTCAGTTTAATTGCTTGTGTAATGTAGATCGGTTTACAACTAGTTTTAGGTCATTAGTTGCTGAAAAAATGCAATTATTTTAAAATAAATACTCAGTATTTGTATAGTTTTTGAAAGCAGTAGTCTGTAGCTGACCTAATAGAAATAATCTTTAATGTGTAAACAACATTTTGAATAATTTTATCTGTCATGTTTGGGCATACTCAACTTAATGAAAGCTATTTATTTTCGTGTGGTTTTCCCGTGAGTCCAATACAGATGTTGCAGGTGTTAATTGCTGCCTAGTTGGTACAGAACAGTAAAAATATAAGCATCAACTTTTATGTTTAAGTGTTGTTCTAGTGTTAGAGTAAATGTCTTGAATTCTAAAAAGAAAAAAAGACTTAAACATACTTCTGCAGAAGGGCCCTAAGGAAAAAATCCCAAGGTTAGCAGGGAAACGCTTGTGGGTGAAGCACGTGTCTTTTCATTATTGGAAGAAATGCACGAATACTAGAAGTGATTAAAAAGAAATCTGAATTTTAAAATGGCTTCATTTCCAGGAATGTTTTTAAGGAGATATTTCTTTCAACACTTGCTTACTGTCCTCCATCCTTTTAAACAGGAGGTCACAACATAGGGAAGATTCTTATTGCAAACCGAGGAGAAATTGCATGCCGAGTGATGCGAACGGCAAAGAAGATGGGTGTGAAGTCGGTAGCAGTTTACAGTGAAGCAGACAGGAGCTCCATGCATGTAGCAATGGTGAAGTATATTCCTTAAGGGTGTGATTAACGTTCATCCACAGCAGTAGTGCGCACTGATGAGCTCAGTGTGAAAGCAGACGTGTGTGCTAATGCTGCTGATTTTCACCTCTGTAGAGTTACTTTGAGGTTGTCCTTGACTCACTGAAAAGTTTGCCTGTCTCTGTCTCGGCACCTGACAGCTTTACTGCAAGTGCGTTGAGGTTTGGCTCTGACTCCAGAGTAGCCACTGGGGGTTGGAGAATGGGCTCTGGTTGTGGGATTAAAGTCGGAATTTGTTTCACCCGGCTGCGTCTCACTGTGAAGAGGGGTAGCGATTTAGACCCTTGCATGCTAGCAGTCTGATAAGCAATGTAATTAGCTCAGAAATTCAGTTAAACTTGCTTTTTATTATCTCATAAACAGTCTGTAGTATAGGTATTTTTTCTGTGGCAGGCAGATGAAGCGTATTGCATTGGTCCAGCACCCTCACAGCAGAGTTACTTGGCCATGGAGAAAATAATGCAGGTGGCCAAGGTTTCAGCAGCAGAGGTAAGTAGACCTTAAACCTGTCGCTTCCATGCCCTTTAGTTCTTTATTTTCACCCGTGGTGTTTCCATCGTGTGTTTCCTTAGCACTCTGCTGAAGTTTCAGGGTTTTCTAAGCTAAACTGATACAAAAATAGGCTGGTAACGTTATTCTATTTTAGGCTATTCATCCAGGTTATGGTTTCCTCTCAGAAAACACAGAGTTTGCAGAGTTGTGCAAGCAAGAGGGAATCATCTTCATAGGTCCGCCTTCATCTGCTATCAGAGATATGGGTATTAAGAGGTATCTATTTCTGATTTGTTTTTTGGTTATGCAATTTGCAGTTTGACGAGGATACTTTTGTTAACAAACGACCAGTTGCTCCACAGTTGTTTTACTCTGTCAGTTCTCATTGTCTTTTTATTCTTATGGCTTTCTTCGAAGGAATAAGCTCCAGGTTTATAGATGTTGGATTCTTATAGACACAGAAGCAATCAAGATTGTTCAGTTATTAGGATTTTGATAATTAAATGCCTAGTTTCCCAGCACTGGGGCGTTGCAGTGCTACGTGGGTCAGGGCTCAGCGGTCCTGCTGGGTGTCTGGTGTATTGGCCGAAAGAACGGTGGAAGAGAAATGCTGTCGTCAGGGGTTATTGTGGCTCATGCAGTTGGGGTGATAAGTCCTGTTTATCACAGAGGATCTTAGTTATTTAGACCAAAGAAATGTTCCCAGGGTATGAAGTATAAATCAAGAATATGGAAATAAGGTTATTACCAACACATGAACTGTGTAACACTAATTGCAGATAATTAATTTTTTATCACTTCCTCATGTGAGAGCAAATTACCTCTGTAATTTAACTAGTTTTGCATGCATTTTTGAAGATAATAGTTGTTAGGCTCAAGTGTTTTATGTGTGGTGTGAATCCAGCTGGTATCGTGAGAAGAGTTTTATCTTTGTACAACTTCAGATGTACTTTTGGCAGGATACAGTGCTGTAATTTGAAAATGTTAGGTTTTGGCATCCATAACGTGGGCCGGAAGATAGGGAAGAACAGTAAGCCTGAAACTGGCTACCACTTTTATGTGGAGGGCTTGCAGAAAAAAAATCCCTGTTTGAAACATTTGATTAATTAACAGTCAAATTGTATGTAACCCATTTATGTAAGTAGTCCCATCGAGGTGAGTGCAGCTGCTTTTGTGAGGGAAATTAACACAGGTTTGGAGCTTAATTTAAGAAAAAAATATTGTCGTTGTTCTAAACATAAAACTGTTCTGTCAAAGCACTTCCAAAGCTATAATGTCTGCTGCTGGCGTTCCTGTTGTTGAAGGATATCACGGAGAAGATCAATCAGACGAGTGTCTAAAGGAACATGCTAAGAGAATAGGATATCCAGTAATGATTAAAGCTGTTCGCGGAGGTGGAGGAAAGGTAAAGGAGCTAACCTGTTTATCACATGCTGTAACGCTGCCGCCTCTCGGTATCTGTAACTGAATGTTCTGAAAGAAATCTTTGAAAACAAAGACACGCTTCTGATTAAAACTTATTATGTATGTCCGGTCTAGCACTATGAAATCTTACTTCCATGTGTTATGGAGTCAGGCACAAGATAATTAGCTGGTATAAATTGGAAGAGTTCTGTTTATTTGAGCAGAGCTCCAGTAATTCACATAATGGGAAAAGTTGTCCCATGGGTTTGTTTGTGTGAAATTATATGAGCTTAAGTTGTTACTTTGTGATAGCTTCTGTGACTTTTTTTTGCTAACAGTTTTAAATGTTCTGTAAGAAGTGATTAGAAATGCCATTTGGTGCCTAGACACTGCTTAATGTACGGTGAATTCCCTGTCGAAATCTGATTTTACTCTGAGATAAATTTCTATAAAAATGGCATCAATTCTAGTTATTTCCAGAATGGCTATATTTATTTTTTAATGAAGGCTGTTTTTCTCTGCCAATCTTGGAAAATTTCTATGATATTTAAGAATAAAGTTGAATTTTGTAGTCGTCCGTATCACCTGTTGGCGTGCAGCAAGGATTTCGGTGTGTACCGCACTTTTAGACATTCAGACACGCTTTTTGCTTTCTGTGTTGTAGGGCATGAGAATTGCTCATTCAGAGAAGGAGTTCCTGGACCAACTAGAATCAGCTAGGAGAGAAGCAAGGAAGTCTTTCAATGATGATGCCATGCTGATTGAGAAATTTGTAGATAATCCGAGGTGAGAAATAGATGCTTTAATACAAACACTGGTGTTTATTCTACTGTTAAACAAACACAACTGTTTTAGTAGTAGGATGGAAATTGGTCTTGTGTGTTTTATTTGCACTGTGGCAGGTGTTAATTCAGTCAAAATTGTTTAAAATGTATTGAATTTCTGGTAGTGACTTTGTTGTGAATGATACGAATTAAAATACTGCTATTTGTGAGACATGGCAGTGACATTTAATGACACTGATATTCATCCGTGAGTGAGCTTTCTAAACTCGATTTAATCTAGAAAAAAAAAGTCACTTTATTGTACTTAAACTCCAGACCTGAGTCAAGCTGTCATGGTGTTTCTGCTGCCCTCAGGTGTCCTAAACTAGTTATTAATCTTCCTCTATTTTGATATTTAAAACAGAAGTGGCTGTCTTTAGCTCATGCCTGACCTGTGAAACTGAGGTCATATATTTATTATAAAGAACTTCTCACAGAGGTCTGTTTGATGCTCCTGTACTTTACATCTGTTTTTCTTGAAGCATGATGATGAAGGAAGCGTTTGTTCTAAAGAGACTGAGGGCCTTCTTACGCTGTCAGATGGGCATGAGAAAAATCTCACTAATTTCCTGGGGATTTTCTTCTGCCAGCATCAGATGATTATCAGAATGGTGACAGATTTTTCTTAGTCTTGTATGCAGAATGAAGTTCTGCCACCTAAGAGCTGTCCTCTGAAATGGCGTGTTGAAATAAATGACGTTATTCCTGAGCCAGGGCTGCTGCCTCTCGTGAATTGCGACACTGTACATTATGAAGGAAATCATCATTGTCGGATAATAGTGAAGTGGTTTTACTTTTATTATAATAAAATAACGAATAAAGAGGTAGCAGCCTTTAGATGCGTCTTGTTTGTCCTATGAGGTTTCACTGCAGTAGCTGGCATTTAGAATCCTATTTCACTGAGGAGACTGAGGAAGTCTGAAACGGTTGAAATCCTGCATAACAGCAGCAGCCTCATTTCTACATTTTTGGCTATTTGAGGGCAGACACTCTAAACCTGTAAGAAGTCCTACTGAAGCGTACAGGACTGTGTACAAGTTCAAAGTCTGTTTGGGTGAAGTCAGTTGCAGGATCGGGGCTTTATTGAAATACGTTGAAATGTTTATTATTACGGAACAGGCATGTTGAAGTCCAGGTATTTGGTGACCAGCATGGCAATGCAGTCTATTTGTTTGAAAGAGACTGCAGCGTGCAGAGAAGACATCAGAAGATCATTGAAGAGGCACCAGCGGTGAGCAGAAAGTTCTTACAATATTTTTTATGAACTGACATATTTTTAAAGTAATCACTAACTCCCATCAGATTTATTTAGTGGGTAGTCATTTATTTGTAACTCTCAGTACCTGGTTTAATTTTGCTGCAGAAAATGTTCTATTGAAAAAATTACTTTCTTTAGAAAATGATTCTCAGGGAAAAATTATGTAGCTTTCAAGTATAGCGTTGATCAGGATTTCACTACAGCTGCTAAATATGACAAAATATCCATGCATAGTAGGTTTAATATCAGCAACATTCACAATAACTTACAATCTTTCGTATTTATTGTTTACAGCCAGGAATTAGTTCTCAAGTTCGAAAGAGACTTGGAGAAGCTGCTGTCAAAGCAGCTAAAGCAGTGAATTATGTGGGAGCAGGTAAGTCTGGAGGTATGGCTGCCCCAGAGATTCGCTTTTATAATCAGTCTCTAAGCCTCAAGGCAAATGGCATCTGATTGTCTTAGAGTATGACACACATCCCCCAGGTTTTTTGAGGTTTACGCAAGTAATCACACAGTTAATTCCAATGTAATTACAAGTTTAAACCAGCCTACCTGGTCTGAGCTCAAGACCAGCAGCAGCTGAAGAATAGAAAGAAAAAAATTTCAGAGCAGATACTTCAATCAGCTGGATTGTTGTTGGAAAGTGAGCGTTGTGAACGTTAGTGAGTTCGAGCAGAGCAAGGGAAAAATAATTTCAGTATGCAAAGAATAATACTTTATATTCAAATGGTAAAGCCTCTTAAAAAAACCCATAACACACTGTCTGTAAAGTCTGTGCTATTTTCCAGATGAAACATAACCTGCTAAAATTATTTGTGACTTTCCTCACTGCTTTCTTTGGACACTTATTTTTAAAAAATAATTACATACCCTATATATACACACAATACTTTAAGAGTCTTGATGCACTTTTTACAGCTCTTAACAAAATGCAGCTCTTTCTGCAGAGGGGAATGGTTCCTAAACAGCACAGGATATGTAAATGTACAAGAAAACAACCCTTCTGTTTTCAGACCTCAATTGTGTCACCCTTTAAAATAACTTCTATAGAACTTAATGAAATTCAGTGTATCTGGTTTAGAAATAATACTCTTGTCCTGGCATAAATCAGTTAAGTGTATTCAGAGTCTGTTCTGAAAAAGTCTCGTTTTGGTGAAGTGCCCTTTTATTAAATACTTCAGGAACGGTGGAATTTATTATGGACTCCCAGCATAATTTTTACTTCATGGAAATGAATACCAGACTGCAAGTAGAGCACCCAGTTACAGAGATGATCACTGGAACAGACTTGGTGGAATGGCAGCTTAGGGTAAGTGTTAATTGATTTTACGTGTAGAGTTCCTCCTCTCTGGTGAGCAGTGAGTGCTCTTTGGTGTCGCCTGAGAGAGACCAGGTGTGTTTTCAGATCATCATCTCCTGTTTGTCTAACAGGGTAGTTTCCTTTGCTCTGAAGGAACATCTCCTATTACTGTATTTGCTTGTAGAGCACTGTGTAGATGCTCTGAACTACACCAAAGTTGTGTAGAGAAAAAACATTTTTTAAAGGATATTTAGAGAGGTTACAGAGAATGTGGGAAGTGGGCCATGCTGAAATTTTTTTTAAACTCTAGTTCAAATGTATCTCTGGCCCAAAAATCATTTTTGGATCAGGCCGTAGGAGGAAAACTCTTCACAAAAACATGTGTCTAGTGTTATACCACTATAGTCACATTCTAAAATAAATGTGTAGTTGTGTGGACTGGAAACAGGCTGTTTCTTCACCCCCCCCAATTCTCAGAGATTACTCGCACCTTGGAATGGTAACAGGAAGTTTTGGACCTTAGGGCACTGGAAATGAAAAACAATTCTGGTTAGATAAATCCCAAAGTGAGGACAGCAGCACACATGGAGCTTAAGAGAGAGGGTGGGGGAGTGTTTAGTGTAACCAGAAAGAAAACTAAAATGGCAAATGCTGATGCAAAAAGGAGGAACTTTTGCTTGCCTGATCTGGGTTGAGCATCGAGTGCTGAGTTGGAGCAGGGATCAAACAATACTGGAAGAAAGAGAAGGAGGAAAGGTTCAGTGGTCTTGGCACATGGCTTAATGAGTCAGTAGATAGAATATGTTCTTGGAGAGATTATTTTTGTGAATCTGGGTAGTACTACTCTTTGAAGACTAAGTTATATTCCACTGTCTCTGCCAAAGTCCGTAGTTTGGTGTTAGAAGGCAGAGCATGGAAAACCCCTGACACATCAAAAGAAGATGAAATGTTGCTACAGATTTTATTAATAGGAACTTTTGTTTTCCCATGTAGATGGAAATTGTATAGCTTCCTGGTAAAGGGTCTCCTCTGTGTTTAACTGCAGCAGCCGCCTTGTTATTATTTTGTCCCTAAGAGCCCTGGTTTTTTCAGTCTCAAACTGGTTTGTTGCTGGTGTTTGTTGGTGTTCCTGTGTTCGTAATGTGAATTCCTTCAAGTAATAAAACGATGTTTACTTCCCCACTAAAGGTTCTGAAATCGTTAGAAATCCCCTTAGAGAAACATTCCATTAAATATACAGGTCCCACAGTACACAGAAGAATCAACAGCATATGCCAGTAGAGCTGGCAGCCAGTAACCCATTTTATCATCTGCTTTTGGAACAATTTTTCTCTACTAAAATCTTGTCTTAGTTGACCAGGCTTTGACATGACCAGTAGAAAAAAATTAGACCGTTTTTCCATTATGTTTTCGCTGTTTGAAGGTCGATGTACACAATAATTCAAAATCCTTTGACTGGTGACTCCCAGAGAAAAGGAAGCAATAACTTAAGAATTAGCCTTTTATGGCCTACCACTATTTTCTCCTTGCGCTTTTTTTAATGTGCTTTCTAGTTGTTCATGTTTAGAAGAAAGATATTTAATATTTCATATGTTGGCACTCCAGAATAAAGAAAAACCCTATTGTTTTCAGGTTGCAGCAGGAGAGAAGATTCCCCTAATGCAGGAAGAGATTCTGCTCCGGGGCCATGCATTTGAAGCTAGAATATACGCTGAAGACCCTAATAATAACTTCATGCCAGGGGCCGGGCCATTGTTGCACTTATCCACCCCACCACCTGATAGCTTCACCAGGATAGAAACTGGAGTCAGACAAGGTAAAGCTGAAGGCAGTGGCGTCATTGGAAATATTTCACATCAAAAGCTTTTCTATGTAAGCTTTTGCCTCTTTGGCCTAAACAAGTTTGTCTGACAGTGTTGTTACAAAGACAAATCTCCGCAGAATCGCTTTTCCTCGTGATTGTCCGTGTACTTTTGGTCAATCGCTGAATGTTTTTATTTACCTCTATGCAAATTATTGTTCATCGGATCATGCTGATTATGTTGTCATCACAGTTTATCAATCCTGCGTTCTGACTGCAACAAAGAAAACTGCATTTGAGTAATGTTACCTCTGCAAAAGTCTGTACTGAAGTTGTCCTCGGAGTTGAAGTGCCAGGTCGCATCATTAAAGATTAATGTTCTTCAAGGACATAGAGAAACGTGGCCATCGCTTGTGTCGGAGTTCAGTGCCATATGGTGTGCTGTGCTGTGCGTTACCAACCTTTATAAATACTTGGTTTGGTGTTACAGCGTTTTTTATGTATTCTAGGTGACGAGGTTTCTGTTCATTATGATCCAATGATTGCAAAGCTAGTTGTTTGGGCTGAGGATCGTCAAGCAGCACTGAGAAAACTGCGATACAGTTTGCATCAGTATAACGTAAGTAGAAGGCACACAGTATGATTTCAGATCTGGAGCTGACTTTGTGAACATTTTGAGCTAACAAAATATGGATAAAGTACTACAGTAAACCAGAAGTGGTTTCTAAGAGGGAGCCTGCATTGCCACCACCATTTCAGATTCAGTATTTGTTTGCAGAGGCTGTATTTTTTCTGAATTTGCAAACTGTTTTCATTGGTGGAGTGAGTAGAGGTAAGTGTGAAGTTCAGTTTTACACGTAGATTTTTCTTAAGTTTGCAGATCTCTTCAGTTGCATGCTGGGATGCAGCTGGGACTTTGTAGAGAAGTAAGGCTAAACCCCAGCATTTTCAATTGTAGCAGGAGCTTCCTCAAAGGAATTTGTGGGTTGCATTTGAGTCAGATGATGTTTGCTTGTAATTTTTAATTTATAAAAACAATTACATTTTCAGACTATACACATGGTAAAGAAATAATGGAGACTTTTTAATGCTGTCAATTCTTTTTAAGAAATGGTCCCTTTTTCCCCTATAGAAACTACAGGTATTGTATCTATTTTCAAAAGTGGAATTCAGAAGGTTTGACTTGAGGTGAGACTGAATATGATTTCTGCAGACTGAATTTACACTTTTGAATCAACAGCATAAACATGACTGAGGTACTGAAGTGTCTGGCCCACTACTGTTTTAGCTAAAAATGAACCTTACTGCAAGTGAGAGAGACAAAATAATTTCCTTGGGTTTTTTTCAGAATTTTCTTAGTAGTTCTGGCAATAAATGTTGACAGCACAATATAGTTACCAATTTCACTGATCTCTCTAAAATAATTAGTTCTGTTTTCATGTTGTTTGCTTGGGTATTTCATACTACAGGAAATGGATAGTATCTAGCAAATTTATAAAAGTCACCGTTCCCAGCTGTTACTATTAAAAGTTCAAATATGGAATAGCTGAAACTATTACAGCTCATTTTTAGTAAGAGGCATTTTTCATATTAGGAATGTTCCTTTGAATGCTCAGAGCATGGTTTTCCAATGCAGTAGGGTTTTTTCCTAAATTACCTCCCATTACTATTGCTGGGAAACTTTCTTTGACTTCACTGTGTACAGAGGAAGTGTTTTGAAAACGGAGCGCTTTTGAGAAAGCGGATCTTCTTTTTTTTTTTTTTCTTTTTAAAATAAATGGTTTCATTGATAATAAAACAGACCAGTTGCATTAATTACATTTTATTGATAAACTTTGTGTTTTGATGGTTGTTTGAAGAAAGATTCACCTATCATCTGTGCGTAAGTTGAGCAGAAAGCTGCATGTTCATTTGTAACTTCATTTCAGCTTGGCAAGCTGCTTCGTTTTCTTTACAGATTGTAGGATTGAGCACCAATATTGATTTCTTACTGAGCCTGTCGGGACACCCACAGTTTGAGGCTGGAAATGTGCACACTGATTTCATTCCTCAGCACCATGATGAACTGTTTCCAGCCAGAAAGGCAATCCCCCATGAAGTCATGTGTCAGGCAGCTCTAGGACTCATACTGAAAGAGAAAATGCTAACAGATGCTTTTAGAGATCAGTCAGATGGTAAGGGTCATTCCTTTGTTTTGTTTTATTTTACTTATGACTGGATGAGACAGTGCTGTGAGCTCACGTGCAACTGCTTGATTTGCGTGGTCCCTTTTTGCCGTACTTTGTGCCTGTTCAGGGTTCTGCATTCTGGCATCTGTCAGGTATTTACACGCAGAGCAGACTGTAACTTTTGTTAAGGGACAGATACTGAATGTACCACCGCTGTAACGTACAGACCGCTTCCCACAGCCCTTCAGATAGGCACTATCTGAGAGACCTTGGGATTCATAACCACTGTCGCTGTGTACTCTTTGCTCTTTACAAGCATAAGCAGTGACTATCTGTCACTATTATTCCTACCGTTGGCCCAAGGTCTTCAGTGGTAAAATTAGCTCGGCTAGGATTGGGAGAGGCAGTAAGGTCTAATGGAATGATCAGGACCTCAGGAGCTGAACACTCTGGAGTTCTCATGCTGTTAATGGCTCTACCAGTGGGGCGTGTGATGGCTGCTAACAAAACCTTTATGTAAATCTAATATATGCTGCCAGCAAACTTGTTAATTTTCTTTCCTCCTCCACTTTAACTATCCTGGAGACATGGGGGAGTGGGATTGGAAAGATTCCCATACACTATTCCCTTGCTTCAAGAGAGAAGGAACTCATTGGGCAATTATCTGATAGCTGGGTATCTGATCCATTCTCAAAAACATCAACAGAAAAACCCCTCAGTCTTCCCAGACAATTTGCTGCAGTGTCTGACTACTCTTACAGTTGGGGCTTTCACCTAGAGATTAATCTGAATCTGCTATGTTGCTGTTGAGTTCCCATGCTTTCTTGAAGCTTGAATGAGGGATTGTCACTATCCATTACAGTGGTTCCCCAATCTTCTATGTGCAATATAAATATATAAGTGGGATGGTACTGATAGTAGGGCAGTGATTTTATGGTGTAAGTTCTAAGTATTGTGTTTTGCCAGAGTGGAATGAAAGTAACGTATCTGTATATTTTGTGTTTTAGATAAATTCTCACCATTTGCATCCAGCACCGGTAGAAGAATAAATATATGTTACACTAGAAAACTCTCTCTGCTGGATGGGGAAAACAGTAAGTTAATAAAAAAGTGCGTGGAGGGAGAGGAGATAATTGATGGATAAAGTGGTGCTTGAAAATTCAGGCTAAGAAATAGCAAGTAGCAGCAGTATGAGTTTTATGCCGTTTAAGCAGGGAATTCACAGAATTGTTTAACTAATCCACAGTTACATCTTGAGGAGATATAAACCAAACTCAAGTGACGCTACTAATGTTCATCACTTAAATGAATAAGGTTGAGATTTTTAGAAGAGCTGAGTGCCATTGATTTTTTTTTTTTTTTTTTTTTTTTTAATTTTGATGTGAAAGTATTCAGCACTTTTTCCAATCAAAAATCTGTTCTCTGTCCAGGTGACTTGGTATAGATAGAGGTTTCAGAGCATAACTGCAGGTGTTGAAAAACAAATTGTCAAGAATCTGTATGAAAGCTAATCAGAGAATACTTGTTCTTTTCTTAGAATTGGTAGGTCTTTTTTTAAATCAGAAAGGATAGGCTAAATATTGTTTATATGTCATTATTCTCTAGAGCCTATAATTATATTACTCACATATACATATTTTGTTTTATTGAACAGTTGTGGATGTAGCTGTAAGTTACAATCAAGAGGGGTCATACAACATGCAGGTACAAGTCCATTTTTTTAGATATTTCATTAGATAAAAGAAGAATGAGTTTCCTGTAGACTTCTCTTGGTATTAACTGTTATTAAAGTTGCTTGGTAGTTACCAATACAGGATTCCATTTTTGTTTTGCTTGCAGCCATCGTTGTAGACTATTATTTCGACCTGAAATTATCTTTGCTAGATGCTGGATTGGCGTGGAAAAGCTACTAAAAAGCTTCTAAAAATAAGGCTAAGAGAAACATTTGTTTTGCCAGTATTTAAAGGTCTTAGTCTTTATTTTTCCCTTCCTTAAATTTGTCTTTCTAAAACATTGGAAGTTAGATTGAAATCTGCCTTTAAAAAGACATTTTTTCCACAGGACTCCTACTTTATTCTGTGCATGAGATGGATCTCTGGTGGGATAAATATAAGCTTTCTAGAGCATTATCTGTAAGATAATACTTTTTTTTTTTTTTATTTGAAGATGGAAATTGGAAAGTGATAACCAAATCAGATGAGGAATGATGAGAGTAGCAAATCTTCTGGTTAAATAATTAAATTATGCCCCCATAGAGTTGGCTTCTTTTTCTGTCCACACCATAGAGAACCTACAGGATACAACTCAAGATGCATTAAACATCGATTATTAGTTGTGTGTGTGTGTGTGTGTGTGATAGTCTCTTAATTGTGTGGCTTATGGGGGCTGTGGTTTGCTGAATGTGGAATGTCCTTCTTGCATCACCTGGAGTCGAATGGGTTTTATCTCACATTTGGCACCTGACATGATTGCGTGCTTTGGGAACGCAGTCTCTCTGTAGTTCAGCTTCTTGTTTCCAATACTCAGAAAAAGATAATTATGAGAATAAGTCAGTGTTTATGAACTGCTTAGTCTGTATAGAGATGAAGGTACCAGAAAAATAGTGAGAAAATGATTGTGCTTTCAGTGTGTATAACCACGT